CTTAAGTGGCATCTCTGCTTTCATCCTTGCTTGTGATTTAGGCTACTCTCAACTCAGAAGGTCAGCCGGTTCTGCTGAAAAATACAAGCCCACTCACCCTGTGCTCGGAGCTCTGTAGTCTCCCATTTCACACAGGGACTGTGAACGTGAAAGGTCTTATCCTCTGCACTGGACCAGGCCTGGTTCCCTCCGCGGCCTCCTTGCCTACTTCTCCTCTCCTTGCTCACTGCACGTGGCCACCGAGACCTCCTGAGGTCCTTCGAACACCTTGCCCACGTTCCCACCTCAGCACATCTTTAATGCTGTTCCCTCATCTAGAAATGGTCTTCGCAAGATACCACATAGCCTGCTCTCTCACTTCTCCAAGTCTGTACCCAAATAGCTCCTTTTCAGAGAGACCTTCCACCTCTCCCTTTACACTGCAGCTCCTTCCCCGCACTCCCTTTTCTGCCTTCTCTGCTGCCTCTCTCTCCTTAGCACTTATCACTACCTCATACACTGTGTATTTATTTACTTTCTGTCTTCTTCCACCCAAATGAAGCTCCATAACGAGGGGATCAGCACAGGCACCTGGTCTGAGGGGGACTGCTGCGAGGTGCACCTTGGGGTGCCAGGCCTGAGGCTGCTGGGCCCTGGGCACTGTGGCACCAGCTGCAGTGAGACCCTCTGGCTTTCCTGGGTGTGGGAGCACCAGCGCCCTCTGCCTGGGAGTTACTACTTTAGTGGTAACCTTCGCTGAGGGAAGTTAGGAGGCCCTTTTCCAAATTTGCAGACATTCTGTAAGCATGAGAGGGGCAGGGTTAGAGAGAGGGAGGAGAGTGAAGGGGAGTGGGGAGAGAAGGAGGGAGAGGAGGAGAGAGAGGGAGAGATGGGGGAGGGAGGGAAAGAGAAGTGAGAAGAAAGGCAGAGAGAAGGTGGGAGGCAGGAAGAGGAGGGAGGGAGACCAGGAGGGTGGAGAGGGAGGGGGAGAGGGGGAGAGAGAGAGAGAGAGAGAGAGAGAGAGAGAGAGAGACCTAAAAAAGATTTAGATTGAATTTAGCAAAACTAGGTAAAAGGAGGCTTTGAGTTGGATTTATTTGAATTAAGGAAAGATTTTACCATGTGATATTTCCTAAATACCTAAATTTATGTACAATTAGTCATACTCATTACAATGATTCTTATTCCTTGACTAAGGGAACCAAATAAATCAACAGAACAAACCCAATCCTGCTCCGTGCATGCCCAGGAGGCAGAATTTAAGCGTGCATATACCAGGGGCCAGTGCCTGATGCAGGCACATCATGTTTAATTGCTGCTTCCTTCCAGACCCCCGCCCCATTCCATCTTCAGTTCCGACGTGCACCGCGTCAGTGTGCACTGCCTGTGCTCTCCCACTGGGTGGGAGAAATGCTGCCCACGAGCAAGGGTTCAGCTCAGATTGGTTTGATGATGAGAAAAGCTGACTCTTCAGTCCTCATCCCATTGTTTCAGCAAAGGTGAACCTGTTTTTTCCCACCCTGCCTCATTCCAACAGGAATTGCCCACAGAACCCCATCTGGACCCAAAGATGCCAAGGCGCATTAGCCAAGAGCTGTTGATTCCTCGGCGTGAGATTCAGGACTCCAGTGTCTGCCTGCGGGCTGTGGCACGTGGAACTCTGTGCAGCTTTTGAAATCTGGCCTCCTCGCAGAACAGGGACAGCCTGTTCAGCGAGGGGAAGAGCAGCTCATTCGTTTCAGCCACGGATGCCAAAAAAGAAAAAAATACCAGCTGTTTGCCTCTTTGGTCAGTAATAGGGCATAACATCCATATTATCCTCACTTTTCTCAGGGGTTAAATGATCTGTAGCTAAGGGTTGAAGGGTAAAAGATTTTTATTCTGTTGAAACGTATGACAACTCTATTAGTGACATCTTGGGAGCACTATTAGTCATTCTGCAAGCCTATGTGAATTATACTTCACTCTTATGTTCATTAGTGTCAATGGCTTGAAATGTTTCAAATCATTTTTTGAAGGGATGGGCAAAATATTTTCAATCCTAGGAGGGGGCTTTGAAGGGTCCTGTGATTAAACACCCTGGCCTTATCCATCTCAAGCAAATTAAAATCTCAACCGATGTTTTCTTAAGACCCTTAGAGAATGCGGTACCTTATCTTCTCTAAATATATTCCACAGTAAAACTGTTGATTATGGCAGAAAAGTACTCAGTCAGCACAAGTTTTCTCATTAACTTTGTGTTTGTCTAACTTTCTAAAGTTAGCTCCTCTGCATTTCTATGAAATGGTTTGATCCTAATCTAGACTGAAGAGCAGCCATGGACAATTATCACTTTAAATAATCAGGGAAAACATCGATAGGTATTTCTTTTTCTGCGAAAATGAAAATGACGAAGCCACGACGGCACTGGCAGCTACAAAAATATATATTTTTAGACTCTCTAAGTTCATAAGGTGAAAATGATGCAGCAACAAGACTCTTCTTGTTACTCTGGGACACAGTAACACTTCCCAGAGTAAATGCTTTCATGCACGTGACAGAAGCATGCTCGATAGTCTCTGCCTGGACAGGTCCCTATTCATTTATCCTCCCCGAGTCTGTCTTTGTATTACTGTTTTATTATTTGTCCTTCCTTTGTAGCTTTGAATACCTACGCTTGTCTATTAAATTTTTATGTCAGGCTGGAAACCAGAGGTAGCAATAAGGCCAGAAAACTAAATACTGATGCTTACAGTAAAAATGCATGAAGCACCTACCTGCACATGCCAGGCACCGTGCTCGGTTTAGGGGATGACGAAAATGAGTAAGACTCAGCCCATGCTCATCAGGAGCTCACAGTCTACAGGTGATGGGGGCCAGTGCAGGCAGGCAGATGACCACTCTACCACGAAGAGGCAGTATTAGGACTGAGGTTTACATGAAGTGCTGAGGGAATATGGAGGATATGGTGAGTAGTGTGTGTGTGTGTGTGTGTGTTGTGTTTGTGTGGCTTCTGTTAAGATTTTATAGAAGAGAAGATTTTTGAGCTGAGACTTGGAGCGTAGGTTTTGTCAGTAAGTAGAGTAGGGAAGAGGTTGGAGTTTCATCAAATGTCAAGACAGGACAAAAACATATCTGAAGGACTATGTCATTTAAAGGAGACTGCAAGTAGCTTGGAATAGGTGGGACATAAAGTCCACATGCATTAGGGAGGAAGGAGAAGCTAGAAAAACAAGAGATAAAAAGATATGGAAGGTCTTTCAGCAGTGAAACAAGGAAGAGATTGGGTCCCTTTTATGATATCATGAAAGGAACCTATTAGATCTGACCAGCAAAGTAACCTTTGCAGACTTTGAGACCAAATGCCAGTCAAACATATGCAACCCAACTCTTTCTCATCTGAAAGGAGAGCTCAGCATTCTTCCCTGCATGCAAAAGAATCTAAGATCTTATTGGCATGGTGGACATTTCCCCTGTTCAGATTCACTTGTTTGCAGGAACTGTCCCTGTCCCCGAACAAGTCATTCTAACGTGGAGAAGGCTATTTCCTCAGAAAGGGAGAGTTTGAATTGAAAAATGAGTCAGGTAAACAAGACAGGTAAACACTAAGAAATAGGTTTTACTAACATGTGTTCTACTCTCTCAACATTATTCTTTTGACTCCATTGTTGTCTTGATTGACAAAGTGACTTTTCATTAACAAGCATGGCAAACAGTGACACAGCCAACTGCATCAAGCCAAGAAGAAGAGAGAACAATGCTTAAACTGCTATTTTCTTCACACAACCTATTCCTTAGAGAAAACATTCTTTAAAAGGAGCACATTCAGTTGAGAACATCCAAAGAATGGCAAGTCGTCACATCTGAAGTTGACTGATCATGAATTTGGTATTTGTATTTTGGATGGTCTTTTACTTGATTGGGGTCTACCAGTAGTAGGAAGTCTGAATGACTGGGCTGAACAGCATCCACAGAAGGCAGCAATATGTTCCTGAAATACATGGAACCCGCCCAGAGGAAGTTTAACTTCCTTTTCAAGTCCTTTTCAATGTGATTTGAAGTTTAACTTCCTTTTCAATGTGATTTGAACCCAGGGCTGTCAGTCTTTGAGACTAAATTCACTGTTTCCTACTTTCAGGACTCTCTGGATGAAGTTCTGCCATTACCTTTAACTTACAGAGTTGTTATTTCTCTCATGGAACAGTTATGGACTCAATGATGGAAAATTTCATGTCATGGTTACCCCAATGCATTTGATGATGGTGTAATGATCAAAAAAGATGCCAGTGATGACAATTGAACGTCCCTTTGCCTTCCCAGCCTCCTTCATATATTCTCAGGCATAGGATGACAAAGGGAAGTCCACGAGTCACATGAAGAAAGACTGTACACGATCAGGAGCTCCTCTGTTTGTCTCCACCACACCCTCCATGCCATCACCCTGTTCTACCTCCCACTCATGTTGTTTCTGTGAATTCCTTGGCCATCTTGACATGGACCACTATCTTCTGCCCAAAGTTATGTCAATAACTTATTCCAACTGAACCAATGCTCAAAATGTGTGGCATAGTTTGTGTTCAAATAGTTATTGAATAACATAATAACCTCTAAATCTTCCAAGGTAACAGAATTTTAGGGGAGTGTCTTTGTGAATGAAATAATGCTTTCTTATGTAGGGTAAAAAGAGCAAGTGTTTTAGAATCACATCAGCTTAAGAGGATAATAATTCCTACCTTGAATGTTTTTGTGACCATTGAAAGAGATAGTGTATATTAAAATGCCAAATATAGTGCCTAGAACATACTAGGACCTCAATAAATGCTCATTTCCCCCCTCCCTAGCTCATGTGGTATTTTAGGATGATATATAATAAGGAACAACTAATCTCTGGTGTGGCTGGATGTCTTAGAAGAGACAGAGATAAATACCAGTCATAAGGAAGGATATTGTTAGAAATTTCTAAAGGAAACAAATGTTTCTTTGGTTATTTTTCTTGGTTGGTATTTAAGAGAAAATTCATGTTGTTCATTAATTATACTTACCAATTTGGTCTAATTGGCAACTACCCCAAAATGAATAAAACAAGCGGGACTCAAGAGAGAAAAACGGCAGGCATCCTGTCAAAAAATAAAATCTTTGAAATTTCTACTACCCAATGGTTGGATATACATTTTATTAAAGTAGACTGATTTATATAAATTTAAACATGTGATGGTAACCTAAGCTGTACACTCAGACTAATGCGAAGCATCAAATAATCCTTCTGTACCATCTATAGATTGTCTCATCACTCCATCAATTAAATAGGTCCTTAGAATCAACATTCCTTTGCTGGAGGGAGTATCCTTCATTATTTGGTTTCAGCCCAGATGATTGTTGTGGGGGTTCAAGGGTTAGTGAGTTAATTCACATTATGTGCCCACAACAATGCTTAGCACTTAGTAAATTCCTCTCTAGTAATGTTAGTTGTTGCAATACTAATTACAATAATAATTACGAATCTTTCAATTCTGTGTCCTCCAAGACTGAACAAGAACTGAATTCCTCCTTCTCTACTTTTAACAACTTTCTGATTTCTAGAGATATGTGTCCTCAGGTGATTAGTTATTTTTGACCTAAAAGAAGTACTTTTTCAGAAGCTAATGTACTCAATTTCTTCTCTTTTTAAAGAGGAATTGAAACAAAAGCCAACTTGTCACTCAATATGTGTAACATTATTTACTGAAGAGATCCTCACATTTCCTTCTCTTCTCTTTCTCTCATTGGCCAAGAATTAGATAGATAGACAGATATAGACATAAATATAGATTATATCTATGTCATATGTATCTATATGATTATATCTATATAATCATCTATGTATCCTTCTATCTATCTTCAAACAAAGTCATCAAAGCTATTTCATTATAATAGGTTTCCTACCAGTTTGGCTATACTACCCCTTACTGGGAGATAAGTTTTATGGTAAACCATGTCTCTGGAGTTAACTTACTAAACAAGCTGGCATTGGGCTAGATGACTCAGACAGTCTCATTTCAAAGGTAGGCCTCAGAGGAGAATCCCATGAGCTTGAATAGCTCTTTTTTGTTCCTTCCCCAGACCCTCAAATAAGTTCTTCTGGCCCTAGCTTCCCAGGATCAAGCCAGGATCATACAGAAGCCTCAACTTGCGGCCACTGTTGGCAATTGGTAGTTGGGCAGGGGTAACCGATTGGTGAGAGGCATAGTAGGGACTCACCCCACTTTTCATGGAACCTGGTACATCCTCCTGCCCATAAACTGGCAGAGCGGCCTTTTCATAAGAATGCACTCATTGGGGAAAGCATAAAGAAATATTCCTTGAAGCACAAAATATACAGCCAATTCCTCTGGATTCTCAATAGTTTGCAAAATAACAAGCTGAGAATAATTACTGCATATTTTCCGGAAAGTAACTAATTAGCATGTTCCTGAGAGCATAAATTTAGCTTGTGAGCATGGGCCTCCCTGGGTTGCTCTACCACTGTGTACAACAATTAGACCACTGGCTAGTTGCTATGAGCAAAGCCTCAAATAGACAGCAACACAGATTCTACTGGCAAGGTGGCACGAGCATTTGTGCATGGAACACACGCAAAATTGGCTTAGCTATATCCTCCCTGCAGAGGGAACAGCGCTGTTGTATTTTCAGTTTATTTCTTTATCCCCCAGTTACCTAACCTTAATAAACAAAAGTTAAAATGCCATTTTAGTGAAGATCAACCAGATTTGTTGTATGGTTAAAAATGGGAAGTCTGGATATCAGAAATCTATTGATTGTAACCCCAAATGTCTTGATATTTCCTTAATTACCCTTCAGGATAAAGTAAAAAAAAAAAATGTTCTCAAGGAGAAAAACGAGGAAATAAAGGGCTAAGGATTTTGCATCAAATGAGCCTGATGCCCTAAGTATCCTGCTTTTGTTCCCTGCTCAGGTGCATGGAAAACCTTTTTCTGCTTTGAGTTTCCCTGGTGCTAAAGAAAAATACCTCCTAAATGAAGTTAGTGACTATGCTGAGCAAAGAGCTGCACACTAGAAGCTATATCTATATCTATATAGATATTTCGGTATCTATATGGATATACCTATATTTATATAGAAATATTTATATCTATATAGGTGTGTGTATATATATGTATACACACACACACACACACACACCTCTATAGATATACTTATTCAGACAGGATATATATCTATATCTATATCACATATAGATATACATAATCTATATGTATAGTACATGAATACTGTCCCATTTATCATATTGTTCTATAGTTTACCTTCATATCACTTTATTAAGGAGAGTTGATAAAAGGCAAAAAATGAAATATATCTAACTTCTCTTTATGATTCTAATGATCATATTTCCACAAAAATTAACCCTAGTTCACCTGTAATTCTAGTTTATATTTGCAGCTGAAATTTGCTTATTCAGACAGGATAAATAATTTAATAAAAATCAGATAGATTTAATTAGCCCACATGCTGTTCACTAAATTTCTGGATGTTGAAAGTTTTCACCTGCATCACTTGTCATCATTGCCCGCATTGCACCTGTCAAACCTTCCTTACAATACTTTGGCCTTATACCCTTATGCATATCCCCTCGGATATGTTCTCTGAATTCCTACTGCACTTTGTACCATTGAAGGGCGTTTAACACTTGCTGCTTTATAATGCAGCTCTTTGTATACTGAGAGGCATTAGAACACGGTGGTTGAGGCATGGATGCTAGAAGACTTCTTGGGTCTACCACTTACTAACTGCCTGACCTTGGGGTTATTACTTGATCTCTTTGTGCCTCAGTTTACTTTTTGATCAGTGGCAGTAACAATAATGGTATCCACTTCACAGGGTTGTTACAAGAATCAAATCAGTTTTTTTCTTGTAAAGTGTTTAGAATAGCACTCAATAAATACCAGTTGTTAAGGTATTTGTAAAACTCTACATTCTTCAAGTGTACAGCTAGGTCTTATTTATCTTGCAAGCCGCACAGTGCTTTGTGTTCTGTAAGCACACTAGCAGAGATTGTGAGAGAAGAGAGGTACCGTCAAGAGTAAATATGAGAGACAGAGCAATTGTTATTTATTTTAAATGAAGGGTATTTTGGGTTCTCATTTTTGCCACATTTTGAAAAGCTGAAGAACTTCTGATAGGTACTTTGGTTCCATATGCAGCATCTTGAAAGTAGAGAGGAATAAGAAATGTAGTGGGAACCACTGTTCATGCAGTGAGCACTACAATCTTCAACATGAAACAGCTGCCGAGTGAGCCAATTTCCATGACAGGGCGTAGGACCCAGAAGAAGAGAGCTGGACTTCGGGGTGCCCGGGAGAAGGATGAAGGAAAAATAAATCATTCTAATTCTAATAGATTGTACTCATGGTAGAGATACAAAGGTAGAAAGTTTTCAGTAGCTCATTATATAGTATTAGGATATTTGGTTATGGCTAAGGATTCGGAATAAATTTAGGCTGTCACTCACCAACTCATAATAGGAGAAATAACTTGGCTTTCAGTTCAGCCATTATCAAATGTAAGCATCAAACCTGTTACCTTGGTCTCATAGTTTTTATACACACCCTGTATATAGGATTTGAGAATATTAGTCTCTATGATGTGTCCTTAACCAGCCTCTCCCCTTAGGTTTTCTGACTTGACTCTTTCCTTTTGTCTTAGAAGGAGTGGAGGGTCACCAGCAGACTGAGTGAGCAGGAGAACACAAGGTATGCTAAACACAACCTTGCTGGCTCCCCACCCACTGGCCAAGGATGACAGAACACATGCATCTGAGGGAAGAAGGTACTCCACTTCTACATTGCATGGGTAGGCTGCCTACTTCCAAAGGCTTTCTTTCTTCCTCCCTCCCTCTCTCCCTTCTTCATTCCTCTCCTCCTCCACTCCTCCTCCTCTCCTCCTCCACTCCTCCTCCTCCTCTCTTCCTCCTCTCCTCCTCCACTCCTCATCCTCTCCTCCTTCACTCCTCCTCCTCCTCTCCTCCTCCATTCCTCCTCCTCTCCTCCTCCACTCCTCCTCCTGCACTCCTCCTCTCCTCCTCCTCCTCTCCTCCTCCACTCCTCCTCCTCCTCTCCTCCTCCTCCTCTCCTCCTCCTCTCCTCCTCCACTCTTCCTCCTCTCCTCCTCCACTCCTCCTCCTCTCCTCCTCCACTCCTCCTCCTCTGCTCCTCCACTCCTCCTCCACTCCTCATCCTCTCCTCCTTCACTCCTCCTCCTCTCCTCCTCCACTCCTCCTCCTTCACTCCTCCTCCTCTCCTCCTCCACTCCTCCTCCACTCCTCATCCTCTCCTCCTTCACTCCTCCTCCTCTCCTCCTCCACTCCTCCTCCTCCACTCCTCCTCTCTTCCTCCTCTCCTCCTCCACTCCTCCTCCTCCTTTCCTCTTCCTCCCCTCCCCTCCCCTCCCCTCCCCTCCCCTCCCCTCCCCTCCCCTCCCCTCCCCTCCCTTTCCCTCTCTTTATATTATAAAAGATAGATTTGCTCATTGTAAAAAACAACACTGAGAAGTTTTCAAAAGATATTAAGTGAAAAATGTCAATTCTCATCTTACCTCTCTGCCTCAAGTCTCACTTCCTGGAAGCTGTAACTAATAACTGTTCACCTGTGTGCTTCTAGATATGTTATAAGTATGTATATGCATATGTATATGTATATATATGCATATACATATATAATTTAAAAAAAACTATTAATGTGATAGTAAACACACAGATGTGCTGCTGTACAACAGGTATTTAACTTTAGAAAAGGAAAAAATCTACCCTTGGACATCTTTCCATATGAGCCCAAAGAGAGCTACTGCATCATTCATAGAACTTCAGAGGATTTCACTGTATGTCTACATATAATTTAATTAGTCACTTATTGGTGAATCTTTGGGTTATTTCCATTTTTATTACTTTAAACATTATTGCAATAAATATACATAGTATAAATTCTTAGAAGTAAAATTAAAGAGCCAAAGGGTATGTGTATTTAAAATTTAATAGGAGTTACCAAACTCTCTTCCAAGTAAGTTGTCTATTTTTACACACACACCAGTACATATTTCCATATATTACACTTATTGACACTAGATA